AAACAGTAAAAAATATTAGATTATTTATTTTACAAAAAAAAGAAACACATAAATTATAAAAGGTGTTCAAAATGTCCCCCCTATTTAGAAGGCAAGCTGTTGTCCGAATTCCCACCTGTTGCGTGGCCCGATATAAAATTTCGGGATTTGCACGAATTTCTTCAGCAGCTTCACGAATGCGCGCCGATAGCTCCTCTCTCGTATTCACTGGGTTAAAATAAACTTTTTGTTTCTTCCAACCCCAAAAAAAAATCTAATGGAGTTAAATCCGGACTACTAGATTAGATAGATTCGAATATAGAACATTCGAATTATTTTTCTTACTAAACACAAGGCTGATTAGCCATACACGCGACCACTGATTGGGCACGCGCCACTCGGGAGCATTGCAAAGTTTGCTAATGAGGAAGAGCTAGAAACATCCATCCGGATGCAAATGGTATTATTTGATAGTGGTAGTCCTCGACAAGTTCACCGAATTTGTCCTAAGTATACCACCAACTAGTGTGGAGTGTGAAATATTTAGTCGCAGTAGATCTCCTCGTGAAAGAGTTTGTCCAGGGCAGGACTGCTACCTTATCTATTAGCCGCCAAGCAGTAATGTCAGCATTACTGCGTTCCGGTTTTTAAGGGTAAGGGTGCTGGTGAAAGTAATTTCAGGCGAGCGCCTGATGATAAGATACACGCTTGACCATAACACTTGCAGTGTCACTCAGTTCTTTAAGTCGCAAAGATCTGAGGCGCACTGCCACTGCGCCCGTCACCCTGAGACAGAAGTTGACAAGTCCCAGTGCCTGTAATTTCACCAGCAACAGTCATCTTTTAAGGTCCACGTTACCGTACATGACGATAGGCCAGATGTAATATAAAAGTAGCCTGATTCATAGCTTAATGTTCAGTTTACGACAGCACAGAACTTTCCTTATTTTGTTAAAAAAAGCTCAAACAATTTCTATCTGGGTCTTGATGCCGTAATCATTTGAATAAGTACTATAAAAAATACTTAACTGTGGAGCGGAAACGTGGACACTAAAAAGGCGGAACGTGACCACCTTGACGCCTTCGAGATTTGGTGCTGCAGGAAAATGTAGCGAGTCTTTTGGATTGATTTTCGTACCAACGACTGACTGTCCACCTTATGTCTGCGTAGGGTACTTGATTTCTTTGGTCACATTGCCAGGAAAGAAGGGCAAAACCTCAGACGACCGGACAAATTGGCGGTAAACGTCTGAGAGGTCGCTGTCCCACAAGATGGTCCGATCAAGTTTGTACGGCCCTCGGCATGGGTCTCCATAATTCGCTCCAAATGCCAAAGACCGCCACAGATGGCACAGCGTGGTCATGTGGAGCTTGTTTCCGCAGGGGAGCCACGACCCTCAGTAATGGGGTATACGACGTTAGGAGGATAAAAAACACACAACGCTAACAATTAAAGCCACTACAATTAATCTGTCTCTAACAAACAAGTTATGCAGTGCTAGTCGCATGCGTATAGGTAATCTACACTACGACAGTTGATAGCCTTGAAACACTTTACAACAATGCACTATTTTGCATACAAAGTTAAGATTCGTTGTGTTTTTAACAAAAAAGAGTGACGGGAGGTAGTAGGTAAGTGATCTGATTTATTTAACTTCCTGAGATCCCCTATATCACCTTATGATACTTTCATTAATATTTTTTATTTCTCGTTAATAACGTAACGTTGCATTTCTTAAAACATTAACGATTGCTGATAATGTGGGTATTTTATATCGGCGCATGAGTATACAATGAGAATCTTTAATCGAAATTGAACCTTTGTGCTATTATCGACATGGCGAATTCTCGAAGAGATAAATATTGATTCAATGTTACTTACTACCAGGGTTTTGTGTTTTTTAATTAGTAAGGACGTTAATCTTTTGATTTTTTATGTAAACCATAAAAATGAAATTTATTTTTAGTAGTTTTTTTAACCATTTCTTTCTGTATTTTTACCTACGGTGATATTTTGGGCCCTCAAGTCTTAAAACATGCATCTTTATGGGGATGATAATTGATGAGTCAACGGTGATGTTATTCAATTTAAACGAGTCAGGGTGTGAAGATATTCTCAAAGAAAGAAGACTTATAAATGTACCCAGAAGACATTCAAGAGGAGGTCATTCCTCGGTCAGTTGACGGAAATTAGTGATATTCTTTTGACGATGAACCGCTTTTTTCCTTATGCGTATACGACTAGATCTCTCCACCGTCAGCAGCCTTGGAATAGGATGAATATGTTCTGCTCGTGCACTGTGCTGACTTCCCTGAGATGTACGAGCAAGAAACTCTGGGGATTGCTCTTTTCAAATAAACTTAAATGCTATGGAATACATTTTAAATATTACTGTGAAATCTAGACCCATGTCGTCGTTCTCCCGGCCCGGTAATCAAATCCGAGATCTCTGCGTAGTAGTCCAGCATGGTACTATGTACCATGCCACGGAGACAGTTTGGATTTTAATGTTTTATATATACGGCAGAAACGTCACGTGCTTACGCCGCTGTAGCCGCTTCTACCAGCCGACCCGCCACTTCGTAACTCGAGAGGCGGCAATCGGCTAAGAGTAAAAGTAATCCCCGTATCACAAAGTTGTCACAAAGGTGGTGAAGAGGAAGAGGAAGCCCACCAGCCGTAACCTGTGTGGCACACCACCGACAGGATCGAACTTTTTGCGCCGTTCAGCAACACCGACGACGCTGCTGTACCTGTCGCGACATTACTCCACGAAGTCTGAGGAGATAGTGGAGTACATCAGACATAAAGTCAAATACACCCTGAGGGTCGAGCGGTTGGAGTCCCGCCACAACGTGAATTTCAATTCGTTTGTGGTGAGAGTACCGACCGAACATCTGTCGGCCTTGAAGGAAGAGTTTTGACCGAAGGGTGTCATGTATCGGCGATTCCGCGGCCGGTTACCTGACACCGGATTGCGCCACACGTCCTTGACAAATATAATATAACATTAGTTGTTTATTTTATTGTCGTATTATATTTTATGTATGTTAGTCCACTTGGCGGCAGAAATAGGTAAGGTGGCAATACGTCTCTGGACGAACTCTGTCCCTAGGAACTCTACTGCAATGAAGAACACATAGTAATGTCAGTAAATTTGAATTTATCTACAGAGCGCGAAGACATTTCCGACTAAATATTCCTTCCGACACAAAGGCAGATTAATACTACCAGCCTCGCGATTAACATTGCATTCGTCAAGTCCGTTTGTTATGTCAATTAAAATTTATAACAAATTACCAAAAATAATAGAAACAGAAACAAGCGAAACAAAATTTATATCAAAGCGTTAAATACATATTTAGTGGGAAAAAGTGACTACACAGTACATGAATACTTAGATGATAGGGACATGTCCAATTAATAATATACATAATTATAATAGTTAATACATAATACAGATAATATGTTTATCTTCTCTTCATAAACTCTCTATAACATGTTCAAAAACCCCAAATTACGACTAGCATAAAGGTAAACTGTTTTGTTAGAACAAATTTCTTATCTGTAATGTTATTATTGCTTCATAACATCGAATTTGATGTTATTATTAACCGACTTCAAAAAGGAGGAGGTTCTCAATTCGACTGTATGTTCTTTTTTTTTGTATGTTTGTTACGCGATAACTCCGGTATTTGTGAACCGATTTTCATGATTACTATGAGTACTTCCATAGTGGTCCCATTTCATTTTGTAGAAAATCATCCACCTTTAAGGGTGGCTGTTCACGCATGAAGATTCATTTTTATAAATAGCGCCTAATTTTAATTTAAGAGCAATTATTTTAATGGTTGATTTTGCTATTTCTCCAATTCGAGGCGTTTTACTCTCAATATACTTTGAGTAGTGAGAACCGATTATTTCCAGTATCCGAATATTATCTCCAGTGTCAAGTCCTGTATAGTGGCGAACTAGGGGATATTTCAATAAAATTGAGCAAATAGACGTAATTCCACGTACTTTTGAGGTCGGTTTTTAGTACTCTGTACTGAGATTATTATTACATTCAAATTTCGAACATCTCTGAAAAACAAAACAATACAACTTTGACAATTACACACGCTACTTGATATCGAACGATATGACAATTGCCGATTCTAGTTTGTCTATGAATTAAAAATAAAAACTACGGTTGTGTGACGTGCGTGAAAAAAGTTTTTATTTGCCGCCATTTCGCCAGTCGTAACATGCGGTTCCTGAACACATCACGGAGAGCTTATAATGTGTGTGTAGATAAAGCAGTGTACGTAACTGTACATAATTAGACATTAAAACACTCGTGAGATGTTTCATAAACCCACACTCGTATCTTAATGCCTTTCGTTATGTAACAGTCACATAAACTATTATTTGTCAACAAATGCATTATGAGCAACTTAGAATAATAACGCATAGAAACCTAGTCCCCGCATGCTAAGTGAGGCAAATTGAAGCGCGCCAAAAGCGCCTACACGAGCGGGCGGGCCTTCAGTGCTCAAGGTCAACTTGCACCGCGAACAGCTCCAGAATTTTAGCTAAAAATGACGAAATGTGCGGTAAATGTGTGTAAAAATACGTCAGACAAATATAAAATAGATACTAACATCACATTCCACAAGGAAGTAACGCGTTTCAACTTGTATTTTTATATAAATATTCACTAAAACCGAAAATTAACCTACTACTAAAACTAGCCTACATGACTTTGATTTTTGCCTCAGTTGTGACAGTTCGTTTGATATGAAACTATCATTCTATGCGTTATTATTCTAAGATGAGCAATATCTACCTGTTTAATCTTAAGGCTTTAGTAAATACAATAGGGTTTAAAATTAGTTTAATTTAATCGGAGTTTTGTCATTTGCTGTGCCCTTACAGGGTCTATAATGAACTTAATTTATGTTACCTACCGCCTTAAATATAACATGGTTTGTAATAAAGTATTGAATGTTGTTTAATTATTTTTTTCTTATTGTTACAGGTTTAAATGCATGCGAAAAAAAATCCTTCATATTCCTCAGAAAGGAGTTACCTGTAAGGTTAGTATGTATGTAGTAGATATAACATCAATGAACTTGACTGAGGTCGTCCTGGGTTGGCTCACTATAGACTGGTTAATTCAGCAAATCAAACAAATTACCAATTCAAGTTGACACAGGCCCCAGGACCAGGCGATTAAATGAAATGCAACTCTATACCAGTTGTAATAAGAACGGTTCAAAGTACAAACAGTTAATTAATTTGTCTATTATTATTCTAAACCTTACTGAAGCACGTGATAGTCATTGGGAAATGTATAGGTGCCTACTTGAATACATTTATTTATGTACTTGCTAATAGCTTAGTAGGTATAACAATCATGGTCGGAATAGGGTGTTCCAATATCATCGAGTATATAACTAGAAATAGAGACGAAATGTCATTTAATTTGTTTGAAAACTATCCTGCCAAATCATTACGGTGACAATTACGCTCCGATTGGAAAGCCCGAATTCGACACAATTGACGGGTGTCGTCAAATGTTTCACTTCAATACGACCACTTTTTTAATTAAATTTAAATTAATAAAATTAAATTAATAAAATTTTTTAATTAATTTTGTTAAACGTAAGCACTTATTGTCTTAGGTTTATGTGTAGAGCAGGGTTGTTATCAGTGCAGGTTTTTTTTACATATATGCGGATGCTGTTTTTTTTTGGCCTCATCGAGTATATAACCCGAATTCGAAACAATTGACAAGTGTCGTCAATTGTTTCACTTTAAATCGACCAGTTTAACTTGAGCTTTGCTATAATGGACGAAAATTTAAAAATTACTTATTTAATATTTAATTACTTTAATTTATTAGATGTTTTGCTGTTTTGCCCACATCGCCGAATTGAACAGCCCCCCATTGTTAGAGATATTATCTTTATTACAATAAATACAGAATATTTTTGGAATACACGGAGACGTACACACAGGTCAGTTGTTGGCGCTGTACTCAGCTTTCTAATTTGTGATTTCAGCGCAAACGAGATTTGATATTTAAAAGTGATATAAGGCCCATTTGCCTGATGAGTTGCCAGGGATGGATGGCCCTTATTTCGTCTCTATTTCTGGTTACATACTCAATAATAAATGTCTACATATCGATACAAAGGAGTGACATAGAGTGGCTAACAACCAAATGTTAATTAACTACTATTTTATTTTACTACACTCTGAGCAGACCTAGGACACAGCTAGTGATTGCAATCGACAAATATTCTATCGACTATCGTACAATAACTGTACTTTTTTCATTTCAATCATTATAGGCTCATTATTCCTCCCATCTGCTGGGCACAGGTCATTTGATTTGTCAACTGCGTACCTACATACACTACATACATACACGACATTGAGAACTATGTCCATTGACTTACAATTATATGGACGTCGGGTCCGCGCTAAAAAGTGTCCGCACTTGTAAGGCGCTAAAATCGTATACAGAGCGCGACACTCCGCTTTAGTCTTCATTTGTTCTACTGACAGCGCGATACTGCGATGACATTACAATTTAAATTTCGAATAGGTTGACTTGGGACATTTTTTTCGTGGTTTTTGTATTAGACCCGTCGTCCATTTATTTGTAAGTCAATGACTATGTCTATAAAAATACGAAGAAGAGACATATTTTCAGTTTTTCATTTAAATTCAATATAAAATCCGCCTTTTGTACCATTTTTGTGTTGTGGTCAATGAAGTTTAATAAATAAATAATCAAAATTGCCAGTTTTTATTAAAATGTATATGAATAAAAATTTATGTCGATACTATTAGGCCAACTGTCAAAATAAAATAAAGAAGGCATTAACGCATTAATTTGTTATGTGTATGTAATCATTACAATGTTGTAACATTCACAATTATTCAGACTTTTTACCTTCTTTCACAATCTATCGATAAAACTGTCGACAACCACTACATGACTGTAATTATTAATAACAAAGTTCGTACACTTAGAAATCCGGCTGAATTCGTACCAAAACCTTCAGGCAATCCGTGTCAGATGCTCTACCAATTAAGCAACGGAACGACCCAGCAGACCTTACGAATTTTTCTATGTGCTTCTTGCAGATCTTTGTTTTTGGTCTTTACAATAAATAATTGAATATCTTGGTATTACCTAAAACATCGTGACATTCAAAAAAGTGAAAAAAAAAAAACTAAATCACTATTTAAAATTTTATGAAAACTAGCAACCCTGCAAATTGCATTTTTCTCCATTTTACTCCGTCTTCAAAAAAAAAACAGACTGTACGTGAATAGTTTTATCGTACTTTACCTCTTTAAGGTTCAGAAGAAGTGTGTTCGGGCGATCTGCGGTGCGTGGTTCGACAACAGCTGTAAACCGTTGTTTTTAATTTATGAGAAATACTGCTTCAACATGTGTGTAATTATTTTCAACCATTTGCCAAATGAAATTAAATTGTTACAAGGACATACTTTTAAATTACAATTAACAAAACGGCTTTTGCTTCTATAGTAATAAAGAATGCTTAGAATTTCCAAATAAAAATTTACATTAATTTGAAGTGCAATTAACAATAGAAACCAAACATGAAATTAATATTTGCACATCTGCTTGCAGGTTGAACACAATGTACCTAATTTTATTTAAGACCTTTATCATTACTGTATTCTGGCAAATAAACGTATTCTATTCTATTCTCTACCACAGCGCAGACCGCTGGACCACCGAGATCAAACTAAATACATAGAAATTAGACCTTGATGTTCAACCGACAAACAAACCCTGCGTCATCTATTGTTTAGAGGCTTACCGTAAAACACGGTATTAACTGGCCTATGATAAGCCATAAACAGTCACATCCTTTTTGACACATTACTTCTATAGTAATAAAGATTATAAGTACTAATTTTAGAAACCGTACTTGAAATTCCATACAAGTAAATACATGTAATTGTATTTGTATGAAATTTGTAATGTTGAGAGAAATAATCTAAACTAAACTAAACATGGGACTTGACTACTTATGTCTCAGGGTGATGGGCGCAGTGGCAGTGCCCGACAGATCGTCGCTCTTTTAAAGCTCTGAATGGCACTGCAACTGTTTATGTATAGGCGGGTAGCTTACCATCAGGCGCAGACCTGTTCGTCCCGTCACGTGATATCATAAAAAAAGTTAGTACGTAACATTGACTTACAATTATATGGACGTCGGGTCCGCGCTAAAAAGTGTCCGAACTTATAGGGCGTTAAAATCGTATACAGAGCGTCATTCACGATTTAGTCGTCGTTTGCACGACTGACAGCGAAGCAAGCAAAATTAGACAGTACTGCGATGACATTACAATTTGAATTCAACGTTTTAGCTTTTTCATATTCCTTTACATGTCACTACGTTTAAATAGGTTGACTTGGGACATTTTTTTCGTGGTTTTTGTATTAGACCCGTCGTCCATTTATTTGTAAGTCAATGCTACGTAAGTTTTGTTTTTCCTTTAGTAAAGTAAGTTTATATTTAAATGAATTAGACACTAATAGTATATTAAATAATATAGCAGCGATTAAATAAATAAAATTAAATTAACATCGTCGGAGAGGATGAGTAAGTACTCAACACCAATACAATTGAAATTAGATAAAGAAAAATGTCTTTATTCTAGATTTTCTGACATATCAAACACTGCTGACAATTGATTAAATCAAATTTAAAAAAAAAAGTAGGAAATTAAAACAACTTAGAAAAAACACTCAGAAAAAATTCTTTCGATCCGGTCGGATTCGAACCGACGTCTTCTTGCATACCGTGCCA